ATTGGATGGTAAACAACTTAGATCTCTCATCACCATCCAAGAGTGACAAAACGGCGCAGACATACCTGATGAAAGAAGACGATGCAGATACTGTCACACTACCTCCGATCGACCCGATTGCTGCGGTTCCACAGAATCTAGACGCAGCATTCCAGAATGCCACAAAAGTTCAGACTCCGCATATACCGAACTTTCACGTCAAGAAGTTTTCCACACACATGGATCCTTTCTTGAAGGCTCAAGACATTGACGACAACTATAAGTTGATCAACGATGTCAAGTACAAGAACTATAAGATTGACGACCGCAAATTGGTTCAGATAGAAACCATGGCGAGGCGCATGTTCTTTGGCCTAAATAGATCTAGAACGATCAATGAGACACTTATCACCAGATTTCGTAACACGACTTCTGAAGATGATAGAATGATATACTCGGCCCTACTTATGCAAAAGAAGGACCAACAGTTCCTAACGGACCATCTCACATCTGTCTCAGCAGCACTGACCTTAGCCCGTCGTCAAGGCCTCCTCGCTTCCTGCACCTGGGGTGAGAACTTTACAGCTCCACTCTATACAGCCCCCGTGGTCCTCCCCATCCATCTTTGACGGAGGAATAGACAAAGTATCCAAAGAAATCACTAAGGATTCCAGAGAAGTCCTTATGATTAAATCGATGGACACGCTAGCCAGCGTCATCAGACAGACTTCACAAAGCTACTCAGGGAGATCTAAATTCACTGGTCTACAAAGAGCACGGGACAGGAAGATAGCCAGCTGCAGGGGAAAAGATTCTTTTCGTCGCCCATTTGGCAACTACAGAGGAGGATCAGGAAGAGGCAGGACACCCAGAGGTTCCCGCAACTATAAACGCTGAAAGACAGGTTCGGAACGACTGGAGTCTTCCACCCCCCAGCCGTTCCAGTACAACCATCACAAGTGGGTGGACGCCTCCAACTTTACTGGGAAAACTGGGGAATGTTACAAGACCCTTATGTCTCCAACATTCTTCAACACGGATTTCGTATCCCACTAAAGGCCAAGCCTCCGCTGACAGTCAACCCTCACAAGTTCGACTTACAAGCACATCAACTACCAAAGTTAAGAGAGGCTGTTACATCACTCGTAACCAAGCAGGCCATAGAAGTACTAGACCAAGCAGACATCGAACCAGGGTTTTATTCCCCAGTTTTCCTAGTACCCAAGAAAAATTCCAGGGAGAAATACAGACTCATCTACAACATGAGCTTTTTCAACAAGATTTATCTACGCAAACCACCAAAGTTTCGCATGATACATCTACCCCAGTTACGGCAGTTGATTCGTCCCAGGGACTACATGGGCAGTATCAGTTGATTCGTCCCAGGGACTACATGGGCAGTATCGATCTACAGGACGCCTACCTGCACATCCCGATACATCCCAAAGCCAGGAAATATCTACGATTTACTCTAGACGGGCTACATTACCAATGGAAAGTGCTCCCATTCGGATTATCATCAGCCGCCTGGCTATTCACGAGGATAACGAAACCGATTATCACCTATCTTCATCGTCAAGGGCTACGCAGTGTGTTTTACCTTGACGACGGGATACAAGTAGATCAAAGTCCACAGCGTCTCAAACTACAGTTAAACTACATCATAAAGCTACTAACACAACTCGGATGGTTAGTAAAGTTACCGATTTATCACGAATCTCAACCGTATTGTTGTACCAGAAGACCGTTGGATCAAGATCCAACAGACCATTCCACAAGCTCTACTCTCTCCGTTACCACTTCGACAATGGCAGAGCATACTAGGTCTTCTAACATCAGCCCAAGACATGACAGTCGCAGGCAGATTACAGTTACGTCCCTTACAGGTCTTCATCAATGCACATCTCGACGACCTACAACCATTCAGTCTACCGAAACATCTCAGACCTCATCTACTATGGTGGACAAAGAAATCGAATGTCTGCGAAGGGATTTGTTTAGCAGAGCAGGAATACAAAACCCATCTATATGTAGACGCGTCGCTCCAAGGTTGGGGAGCTCATCTCAAAAAACCAGACGACATCGGGTGTATGGAATCAGCAAGAAAGCAAGCTCCATATAAACCTATTAGAGATGAAAGCTGTAATCAACGCCATACTGCACTGGAGCACCATTCTGCAGAATGTGCACCTAATGATTCATACCGACAATGCGACAGTGGCGTTCTTTGTGAACAAACAAGGCTCAACGAAATCACTGAACCTGTTGGAATTAACCTTTCAACTGTTCGATCTAATCCACGATCTAAATCTACATGTCAGAGCAGTTCACATTCCCGGAGCCAGAAATGTACTAGCAGACGCACTCTCTCGGCCACATTAACCGTCACCGACAGAATGGATGCTCAATACAGAAATATTCACACAGATAATCAAGCAAATAGGATCTCCGCTAGTAGATCTATTCGCCACACGATTCAACAAACAGCTACCAACTTTCGTGTCACCAGTCCCAGACCCACTAGCTTGGGCAACGGACGCTCTGAACATATCTTGGGAAGGCCTCAATGCGTACGCGTTTCCGCCGCCTGCAATATTACCTCAAGTGTTGCAGAAAATCAGACAAACACAGAGCCTACAACTCACTTTGGTCGCGCCCCTACTGGCCAGCCAGAACGTGGTTTCCCATTCTAATTCAAGAAATCGGTCAACCAGCACTAGAGCTACCCAAGCGCTCAAACTTGTTAATTCATCCACACACCAAACAAGTGCACGGAAACCCAGAAGTATTCCAACTTCACGTGTGGACTGTATACAAATGTGTTTAAACAAGAGAGGATGTTCTACAAGGGCGGCAAAAGCGGTCACGCTTGCCTTACGGTACTCTACTCGTAACTTGTACGACGACAAGTGGCGCTGTTTCGAAATTTGTGCAGTAAACAAAGGCTTTACAGCCAGAGAGGCTACACAGCCTCAAGTGGCAGACTATTTGTGTTACCTACGCCAAAACAAACATTTAAAAGGCTCGACAATATCAACATATCTTGCCGCGCTTACTTCTGTGATCACTATGAGAACGGGTGCAAAATTAACCAAGTCTCCAGAGTTACTGGCCTTACTACGTGCATTCCGATTGGTGGACCAAAAGCGGAAGTTCCACGCCCCCAGCTTGGGATCTGAATATAGTGTTACAACACCTCACTAGTGAGGCGTATGAACCGTTGGAATCAACAACTTTTGAATTTCTCTCACAGAAAACACTATTTCTACTTGCGCTAGCCACGGCAGCCAGGATATCTGAAATTCATGCCTTAGATTACGAGAGGATACAGTTTGATGACAATCATAACACAGCGCACCTGGGATTAAGATGGGATTTCATCGCCAAAAATCAATTACCAGGTCAACCAGACAGGTTATTCCACGTCCCGGCGCTATCCTCGATTCTTGGATCGCAAGATACACTAGACTTACCACTGTGCCCAGTCAGAGCTCTCAAAGTTTATCTACGACGTTCCAAAACAAGGCGAAGAATTCTCAAACGATTATTCATCCCCTTATCGGCAACAACTCAGACAGAAGTCTCTCGTACCACCATATCTATTTGGATAAGGACTGTCATACTTCGTGCCTACAAGGCAGCAGGCTTGGACCCTCCAACTGCATCAAATCCCCATGAAATCAGGGCATTGGTTTCCACTCTCGCCTTACACGGTAACTGCTCATTGAACACAATTATGGAAGGATGCTTTTGGAAATCAAACATGGTGTTTGCTAATCACTATCTCAGAGATGTCACCACAGAAGACGTCTCTGGCATTCACCATTTCGGCCCACTGGTCCTCGCTCAGCAGCTGACAGTCCCTCGTAGGCGTTAACTGTTACCCTCACGAGTTTACTATGTATTATATACATACTTTATCTAGGTTATAACTCTACGGAGTTCTAGGGCTATGTATATACTTAAGCTTAGGTTACTCAGCCTTAAGCCTATTCTGATATTATGTTCAGTTGTACAGTGTCTCATTCAGAGTCACTATTATATATATATATAAATTTTGTATATATATCAGCATATTACTAATGTAATACCCCAGTATGTCATTATATAACCTATGGTTATAAACAGGATATATCCTAAGTCTATACCTTCACGAAGTTCCCGTCAGGGGTTATTACAGTTATATTTATACAAATCACTAATTATAAATCCAAAGTACTCTAATTTCCCACCTCCGTTCCGTCGGATAATACAAGCAAAAGAGCATGAGTCAGGATAAGGAAAAATATGTAATTTTTAGAGTAAAATTGATATTTTAGACTTATCCTGTGTCATGAGGTCAGCCCTCCCATCCTCCCCACATAACACTTTGGATTTCCCTGTAAGTTCAAGTGTTGGGCTCACAAAATCAGGAGAGAGTAAAGCATGAGGCCAGAGGGTGGCGACACCTGTTCCCGCCAAAAAGGGAGCAAAGGGGAGCAACTCGTGGTGAGTACTAATTAGTGATTTTATTTTGAAGGGAGCTTCAAATAAGGAGATACAAGTGTTCCACTATGTTCGGGGAGAAGAAGAAGACAAGCAAAAGAGCATGAGTCAGGCTAAGTATAAAATATCAATTTTACTCTAAAAATTACATTTTCTTTAGTTGTATGATAGGTTGTTAAGTAGGTGGGTTAGTGAGAAATTAGGATGTAATCAGAACAGTATGTAGGTTGTTTTATTTGTTGGGTATGGGGAGATTCCTTGGGGACAAATTAGGTTTAGGATTAAGTCATCACAGGAGCAGGAAGGAATGTACAGTACATAATAGACGGGCCTTCTTCTGTGTGATAGTTGAATTTTTAAGTTTGTTGATCATTTTGCTTTTGTGATTAAATAGAATTTCTTATATTTTCAAAAAGCCCTTTGATTTTATTCACCCACAAAATGCATGAACCATACTATAGAGTCTGACACGTTCAATTCCACACATTACACAATGAAACCGGAACTGTTTCATCATTAGAACAGACACGGTGGTGTTCGCATTATGGCTCTTTATTTCTGGTAGTTCATGTAAAAAACCCTGAAACAATTAAAACATTCTTAAGACAAAACATAAACATATGCTGAGAGATTATCTTTAAATATAACCATTTACAAAATATCTTTATTGCTAATCTATTCCATATACATTGCCTCAATATTTAATTGATGACACATTCCATTTATACTTTAATTCATAAATAGATAGGCATATACATATCATATCATATAGGGAAACAAGCATTCCTTATCATGTAGACATTACACAATATATAAAATATAATAAACCCACCAAGTGTGTGGACCTGGGTATAGTCAGTACACACCGACAGCTTCACGAGCAATACACCTACATCTGCACGAATAAATGAAACATATATACACACTCTGCAGACTAATCAAATGACAGCAATAACAATACAACAAATACGTTTAGTTATTGTTGATTAATGAGAAACATTTAAAATATATATAATGGTAAATCCCTGCTTCATTCTTACATTCACACATTATACATTCATACATTTATACATTATACATTCATACATTTACACATTATACATTCATACATTTACACATTATACATTCATACATTTACACATCCATACGACAGCTGTATAGTACTTAAAGATTAAGTTTAACACTGATAAATAGCTTACTGAATTATTGAATTATTTACCGTTTGTAAATAATTAGACTTACAATGCATTACATTCTGCAACACAACTAGTTATCACAAACTACTTAATATTTACAATATGACAAAGCAGCCAAATTATCAACGCATAAACACAATATGCGTATACATCCAATGAGTATGTACAAACTACAAAAAGTATGGAAATAGACTAACCTTCAGAAATGATCTCAAGATCTCCTATAAATGTCCAAATAAGTCAAAACGTGGTGTGAGCTTCAAAATCCACAAATGCCTTATGACCAGTTGACAGTTGAAACGTTCTGAACTGATAATAAACTTTAAACCTTAAAACAGGGGGCAGTAAGCTAACAAGGTTTATGACAAAGGGACAGTAAGTGGCGCGCTTGGGCAGGCTATTGTGTCGCAGTGCTTTAGGTGACTGTGGCTGAGGCAGAAAACTCATGCAGTAAGCTGAGAGAGGGGTTAAGAGAAGCTAAGGAGTGAAGTATATAATGTTTAAAATACACTAAACTGAATATTTAATTCAGTTAAAACTAATGAATAAAAACACTAAATATATACAAACGTTTCATCCTGTCACATATTTCCCTCCCTTGAATAATGACGTCCTCGTCATTCCGGTTCTTCATCAACAAGGGAAAGCAATGCCTTGGAGATACTTGTGATGATGTGCCCCAAAATGCCTGTCGCTGCCAGTTGTTCCAAGCGTCGACTCTTCTGCTGCCAATCTGGGTCATAATCTCCCGAGGTCTGCCATGCAGGCTTCCTTGTCAGTCTACCAGTTCTTCTTGGTGCAGGTACGGGTTGAGGATGAGGATCAGGAGGCGCAGGAGGGGGTAGATCATCACTGACTGAGTCTTCCGGCTCCGCTTCGGTGTTCGGTGATGGTTGCACTGCTGCAGGTGATGCTTCTGAGCTGCTTTCTCCTTCAGGTATGTGGTCGTCACCACCAGAAGCATCACCTGCTACTTCAAGAGACTGTAGATCGTCACCTGTTGTCTCTGAAGTAGCCACACTCTCTTCCACAGTGTTCTCACTGATGATAGTAACATCCTCAGCAACTGTAGGAAAAAAGAATGGAGCATCATACTCAGACTCTTTATCCTCATGATTGTCATCTTCTACAGTCTTCTTCACTGTCTTTCTTGGTCTAGGAGTTGGCTTCATGGCTGTCGGTTTGCCGTTGTTCTCCATGATCGCTGGTATTGATCCAATTGGCAGGAGATGGTTTCTGTGCAGCGTCCTCTTCCTCCCCTCCCCAGATTCTCTTTGCACTAGAAACACAGGGATTTCCTGATTTGGTTGCAAGAGAACAACATAAGGATCTTCCTCCCATCGATCGGCCAACTTGTGTTTACCGTCAAAGGCTAATGCCTTTACCAGAACTCTATCACCTGTTTGGACTGTGGCACCTCTCGTCTTCAAGTCATAGCTGACCTTCTGCTTGTCTTGAGCTGTCTTTGACGCCTTGGATGCCAGGTTATAGGCTTCTTGGAGCTTCTTCTTCAGAGACTCTGAATAAGCTGTAAGAGACTGGTGACTTTTGTTGGTCTCTATCCCAAAAGCAAGGTCTATTGGAAGGTGAGGCTCACGACCAAACATAAGGAAGAATGGAGACTGGTTGGTTGATTCATGCCGGATGCTGTTATAGGCGTGGACGAGAGGAGCTACATAGGTCTTCCAGTCTGCTTTCTTGTCTGGCTGGAGTGTTCCCAACATGTTAAGCAGTGTCCGGTTGAAGCGTTCAACCATACCATTACCCATGGGATGATAAGATGTAGTCCGGCTTTTCTCCATTCCCAAGAGATTGCACAATTCCTTCATAAGTTGACTCTCAAAGTTTGTTCCTTGATCACTATGGATACGCTTTGGGATCCCATAGTGCATTATGAAGTTCTTGAACAAGGCTTCTGCTGTTGTTTTTGCAGTCTGATTCCTAGTTGGGATGGCTTGTGCATATCTCGTAAAGTGGTCTGTGATGACGAGAATATTCTGGTGGCCTCCCTTTGATGGTTCTAAAGTCAAAAAGTCAAGACAGACAAGCTCTAAAGGCTGGGTGGTGGTGATGTTGACTAAAGGAGCACGTGCATTGGTGGGAGACTTCCTTCTCAAACATCTGTCACATTTCTGGATCCAGTCTTCCATGTCTTTGGCCATGCCAGGCCAAAAGAACCGATCTCTGGCGAGTGACAGGGTTCTGTCTCTTCCGGGGTGTCCCACATCACTGTGAAGTCCTCTTGCTAAACCCGGGTGGTGTAACTTAAAGCTACATTACTATCAACACTATGCATAAAGCAAAGTATGGAAAATGTCTGTACAGTGAAATAACTGAACGCCAGAACGTTCCCTGATTGCGTGAACACTGGTGGCTCACATGAAACACATTATAAAATGTCTATATAAAAAATACACAAAGATGTCTCTCACGCGTGTAACTGCATCTTATCAGTCTCCGAGAATGATGTCATAATACATAGTAGTGGATAGAAGGATGATGAGGTCAATACGCAGGTGACGGTGTCTTGTTAGGCCATATTCCTCACTGGGGGCTCCATTGAAACTGGAACTGTTTCATCATTAGAACAGACACGGTGGTGTTCGCATTATGGCTCTTTATTTCTGGTAGTTCATGTAAAAAAACCCTGAAACAATTAAAACATTCTTAAGACAAAACATACACATATGCTGAGAGATTATCTTTAAATATAATGTTTAAATTACACTAAACTGAATATTTAATTCAGTTAAAACTAACGAATAAAAACACTAAATATATACAAACGTTTCATCCTGTCACAACAATGTGAGTCAGCAGTAGGCTTTGATCCATGCACTCTGAAGAGTTATGGTGCGGTCCGAGTGGCGACCTCAGGAGCACGACCGACTAGACCTTGCAAACTACTCAACCGGTCTTGACCTATCTCGACCTCACAACGACCTCATAACGACCTTGTAAGGACCTTTACGACCTTAGTTCGATTTTAGTTCGACTTCAGTCGACCTATCTCGACTTAGGTCGGCTAAGTTGAGAAGACATATGCTAAACCAGCTAGACCTGTATATCGACCTAATTTCGAATTAATTTCGTCCTAAGTCGACCGGCCCGACCTCACCGCGACCTGTGTTCAACCGGGAGCGACTGGTTCTCAACAGAAATTCCACTTTTCTGCCGATTAAACCCTTGGTTTCCAAACTGTATAAATTACAGGGTGCATTTTCACCAGGTACCCATTCAGTTAGAGGACTGCAAAGTAGTAACATCACCATCAGGAACATTGGCGTAAACCTGGTGAGCCCCGAAGAGTGAAGACTGCTTACCATTTGGATGCAGATAACCTGGCACCTGCTTGAACTGGTGGATGACCTGGAGAATGCCAACCCTCCTCCAAAGCCAAAGCCTCAGCCGTAAGCACATCCATCTTATCCTTGACGCCTTGGAAGCTGAGTATCGGTCAGATGAGTGGGATCAGAGTAGATGGAATACTGTAGCCCGTGCTTTCAAGGAAAGGTGGCAATTTCCATATTGCACCGCAAGCACATACGCATCAAGAAGCCTCCCAAAAGCGGGTCCCTCTTCTACCACTACAAGAACTTTTCTCTATCGTCTTGCTGGCACTTGCAGATGCCGACTACAAGTTCCCGTGGGTCAAGGTCGGGGCCAAGGGATCAGCATCAGACGCTGATGGTCTTCAACCATTCACGAGATCGGATGGAAGGCGATGACCTTGTATTCCCCGTATGGTGTGCCATACTTCATCATCGGCGACGATTGCCTTTCGACTCCGCCCCTGGATGAAGTCCTTTTCCATGTGTCAGATGGACCCCGATCAGCAGATCTTCAACTGCAGGTAATTATTCTATTCCATAAATACCTAAATCAAATTATAACTTAGTACCTTTGGATGTATGCAATCTTATATCAAAGGTTTTGAATTTTGAATGCATTTGACTTAAACATTTTTAATTTGTGACTTTGGCAGACTGTCTCGGGCCAGACGAGTGGTGGAGAATACCTTCAGGATTCTGGCTATGAGGTTCCATAAACAGATATCCCTGGCATGCGTCACTTTACACAACATGCTGAGAAGGAGGAACCAGATCAGTCAGATGAACCTCACAGACCAGGAAATGGGGACTGTTCACTCACCCCAGGCGAGTGGCGCTCCTGCACACAGCTGCGTGATGGGGATAACCGGGGTGCGAGGAACGTTACTCCACTAGATGGCGCCAACCAAAGAAACTATTTGAAGGACTATTTCATGGGCCCAGGAGCTGTTCATTGGCAAGAGAAAATGACATCCAAATGACTTTAAAGTGTACTCTATTATTTAGGACTACTTCATTCACAAAGGAACTCTTGTTTGTTTTTTTATTTACACTATTTACAATTGGTAAATGCAAAAAAAAAACACACAATGAAAACTAACTGTATACATGATGAACAAAACAAACTTTATTACAATCGTACAAGATGTATTTACATTTACACTTAGCAATGGATGGAAACTACAAAAAAAAATCAGATAAAAAAGCTTATAAATCTTGTATTGGAAACTCATTTAAATAATCTGAAGGTAACATTTCACATCAGCATAAAGTGCTCATGACAATATATGAGTATCAAGTTCTACTTCTCAGTTTCACTGTCCTTGCTGAGAGTCCTGAACATCCTCTGAGGTGTGTGTAGGGTCCAAGAGACCGCTTGGCAGGTACAGAGATATACCTGCTGCAGCACTGGAGTCAAAGTTGCGGAAGATACCAGCCTGATCCGCTGCTTTGCAGCGTGTTGGAGAGGGTGGTGTGCGCAGGGTGGACCTCGGGGTGGCAGTAGGTTGATGTGGAGATGATGTGCTAC